CCATGGCTGCCCAGCGCCTTTCCCATTCTTGGGCTCTTGCGAAAGAACGGAACATTCTCTCTGGCTGTGATGTCAATTGACTTCCGATCCACCTTTTTCTGATGGCGTTTCGACCAATACGTGACCCCCAAATTCTGGGTGAAGGAGGGGACTTGTACACCGTAGTAGACGTGATCCCTGGATGGGAAGATGGAGATCACAAGTCCCGCGGTGGCAATACTTTTCTCTCTCTCTCTCTCACACACTCTCTCTCGTCTTCTGACTATTGCACAGGTGCACTCCGTCCTTATCCGGGGATATATCATCATGCATACATACGTATACATTATTCCAGGGCACCTCGTGGGTGATCCAGTGAAATTTAAAACCAGAGAATTGAGTCTAAGTCTGATTTGCACCCCGTAGATGCCACTATAGCTGTCAAATGTCAATCCTCCAAACCCAGACCAACTGGTCAATTCTTCATCCGAAAGATGGGAATTGTCCCAATCAGGCTAGATCATCCTGACTCAGCCTGCACATGATGGCACTAATGTGGAAGTGGATTAGCGGTGGCTGACTGGGATGTCCCAAAAGAGTAACTCAGTCACGGGGCCCCCACTTGATGGTCGCCATCAGCCAATGACTATCTGCCAATCACATTTTCCTCACAATTACTTAATTAAACCAATCAGGGCAATTGCGCCAATCAATTCGTCCATCTCCATCTCCATCTTCTCCCTCTCCCATCTATCTACTACTCATCTATCCATCTATCCCATCTTTCCCTTCCTCCACGGTTCAGCTCCATCAGATAGATGAATCCATTCGATGTTCCATGTTGTGACTGACTTTGGTTCTCTAGGCTTATCCCCCTCCCCACCCCCTTCCATAATCCAATGAGACAGACCCGTTTCAACGTCTGGTGGTTCCTGACCCCCCCCCCCCCCCCCCCAAGGGCCGTTAGTTAACATAACGCTAGGGGCGAGGGGCCTAAACCCCCCTCTCTGGCCAGCGACTAATGCCGCCCAGCACCTTCGTCAGAGCTGCCTCTGCATCGCGGATTGGATGTCTTGGATGACTGCGGTTTCATCCACTTCCTCAAGGGCAGCAATCTCTTTCAATCCCCCCTGCTTCCTGTCGTCACAGCCGGTTTGTTGGTTCACCTGTACATGGCGCTTGGCCAAACACAATGCGCTTCTTCTTTTTGTTTGTTTCCAGGGTCCCTGGTCCTCTTCTCTTCTCGCTCTCATCCCTGCTCCTTCACAGCCTCTCTCTTTTTCCATAGCTTCTTCAATATATCTGAATCTCTCTTCTTTCTTCACGTGTGATCGAAATCTCACGCGTTTTTGGCCCTCCCGCCTCACCAGCCTATCCTGAAACGGGTGCACCACCTCCAGGCTATTGCCTCTGACATCTGCTGTCATGGCCTGCCCGTCTCCTCCCGGTAGAGAAAATCAGCAATGAGTCGGGCTTAGCATGTGTGTATTTGCTTTCTCCGACTGTATCCACGGCTTCCGTTTGTTCACTCTTTCCATACCTTCGTGAGCCGGTCATTCACTACTACTACAACATCAAGCACTACTACTGCTGCTGCTACCATTGCCGCGGCCTCCCCCGCTCGTTTACGCGCCAGCGGCCTCAAATCCAGGGATTCCCTCTTTTTTTTGCACTTTATTATCATACCTGGTTCTTCATGCAGGCCACGTTCTTCTCTTCTTCCCCTCCTTGATCCAGCAAAGTACTTCTTGCGTCCTCCGGCCTGCGGGCTTGGCGACATGTCCAGGTCGAGCTCTGCGGTTCTCCATCAGAGTTCGAGATGTGCAACTAAAATTCCTCGACACTCCAATATCTTTGTGTCTTCGGCGCCAGTAATCACCAGTTCTTCCTTCACCTCAGCCGCATCCTCTCCTTCATTCACGAATTCGGTCCCCGCATCTACGACCGAAAGCTCATTGTCCATCGAGCCCTTTCCGTCTAATACATGGCACTCAACAGCTGCAACTTCAGCAGTTCTTACAGATGCCACGACTACTCAGTCGTCACAACCATCGGCTGGTGACTCGGTGGTCGAGCCTACGACAACTGCATCTGCGACCCTAGCAGATCCTAGCGACTACAATCTTCTACAGACACATACGGAGGATGGCACTCATTTTCACATGCCGGTATCGGCGCAGACAAGTCCATTATCAAGCTATCAAACACCACCGCCAACAGCAGAACCCTCCACCCATGTGCTAAGCTCCATAACGTCAACGACGTCAACGACACAGTACCCCCATACCACCTCTACCTCATTCATTCCACACTCAGCAGTAACTAGCGCTGTCACTTCAGCCAATGGCACGTCGCATGGCTACATAGATCAATCGGATCATGGTGGCTCTCATGCCTCACTGGGCGCAATCTTGGGTGGCGTTCTAGGAGGCGTAGCTTTTGTTGCTCTTGCGCTTGCAATAGGTTATTTCGTGATGCGTCACAAGCGGCGCAAGCCCCGTGACGAGCTGGCCACTGGCACGAGTGAAGAACACCTGCAAGATGACCGCAGTCCGGCTGCTTCCTCAGCAGGCTCACATCAAGTATATCAGTCGTGCGGGTCATCTTTCACCGACCACTCCTCTACCCCCTCCAGCCCTCTGCGCGCTATGTTCCCAGTATCAATTCCTGCCAAGAGCTACCAAGCGCGTCGGACCCCTTCCGGTCCAAACCTCCTCTTCGATGCAAACCCTTTTCTAGACTCTGCGGAGATCAAGTATGTGTCGCGTGGTAGCGGCGTGCCCAGCAACGCGGGGACGCTTCGCAATCCGTTCGCCGATGCAGCTCCAAGCCACACTGTGGTCATGCGGCAATCATACATGTCGCAGCGACCCACGTCAACTGCCTGGTATTCCATGCACAGTGATCGCAGCTTAGGCAGTACGCTCCACCTTCCTGGGCGGAGCAGCGCGGGTAGTAGCCTGCAACGACTCAGCTACCCGTTCACTGCGGCCGAGCTAGAAGCATGCGAGCCCATGGCTAGGTTAAGCACGCGCAGTGATCCTTTTGATCTGGAATGTCCACCCCACGCTATGCACAGGCGTAGTTCTACCGTCATACCCATAGGGCACGTCTAACTTACGGCTGACGAGGGAGAAGATAGAGCTTTTTGCTGCCCGCACATAGTGTGGGACATGAAGAAGCACACGAGATATGCGACATGATTCCACGCTATCATCTGCAATTAAGCATGTGGTATTTCCATTTGGGTCGTTGAACGGGGGATGCGGAAAGAGAAAGCAGATTTCACTTCAAGATGACTGTATATGTATTTTATCTTATGATTGGTGTTAGTTGTTATCAGACATGGCACACAGATGGTAGGTAGCGAAGGGTAAGTAAGGGTGCCATGCTGTCACAGCTGTATTTGTATGTGTACGATAATTACATGTGCAATTGTCGTGTGCGAATACAACATCCAATGAATTTCTGATTTGAATACCATGCTATTTTACTTTATAAGAGTATTTGTAGTACACCATGATAAACTACAAGAAACTCCAAGACATGTTCAGCTAAAATATATATATTCATGTTCTGAACATAGTACCAATACCACTACTAATTGGCAGTGTGAATGCAAACAAACACTTGTACCTAACAAATAGTGGACTGACCATCACTCGGCTAACTTCAAGTTAAACGAAAGGACTATTTCTCAGTTTATCTTCTCCGTATTAATTCTCTAGTACTACTAGTATGCTTCATCCGGTTAACAACTAATAGTTAATTTGGTGGTGGTGTGGTACTTAGTACCTAGATATATATTCTTGTTCTCTGCTTCCGTAAGGCTAGTAGTAGTATCCCCGCGATTCCCCACCACTACCGCCGAACTTGAGATCTACTAATAAATAATAGCAGCAGCACCACTGCTAGATAGGAGACAATATACATACTATCGCTATAAGATCATTAAACATGAAATCTTGTAACATGTTATAGAAATTCTAAACCTTTCTAAGTAACCTCGACGGGAACTACAAGAGCTACGGGTACGTAGTGGGGGAGGAGAGAAAACCACACACACAGACCAACGCAGATTTCGACAAGCCGAGATACTATAAGCCATAAAAAAATAAAGAATAAGATAGAGTGCATGCAACTAAAGTCCAGTTATATATTGTAATCAGAATTATGATTCTCCTAATAGAATACGACAGGAAGAGACAAGAGGTAATAGCACATTCTATGACTAGATTTACTGAAAGTCAAGAAAGTGGGGATGATAGACTTATCCATTCCAGGCTGAATAAATGTGAGGGGCGGGCTGGTTTGACGTAATCCAAGGAGAAGAGGGAGGAGGGGGTTTTGGCTGCGATGGCAATAGTTTAGGTAGGTTGCATAAACTACACGAGATATACGTTCTAGACCATTACAAGGAACCAACGTTGTGTGTTAACCCTCGGAATGATATTCAGGATGTGCGTTACGACATTACATGTTCAGTGCAGAGGTAAAGAAAAGGGGAAAGAAGAAGCAGCGGGTGCTTTGGGAGAAAAGCAGCAAGAGGGACAGGTTATATCCGGGCGGGAGTTGGGCTGGATTTGATATCGGATAGCAAGCAAGCAGTGCAAGGGCGAATTCTTTTTTTTTGCACGGTCCAGGAAAGGAAGAAAAAGTTGGCGAAAAGGATGAAGAAATAGTAAAAAAAAATTGGAAATTTCGTATCACACAAAGCGCCATGCCATTGTTTTGCTTTAACAGTTAGGTCTTTTTCCTTTTTTTTGCGTGGTCCTTTCACATGCTCTTCCCCGTGAAGAGGAAGAGACGGGGATGACGATGATGGTGATGATGGTGCATATCCTTGATCCCCAACCCTGTTCCAGGCTCCCGATACGATCCAAACAACCCCGTCCCGGATGAATCGAGCCACCGAGCCAGACCTGCAACGAACACGGAGTGGTCGATCAAAGTCCGTGGGCTGATCGATTCCCTCCCGCGTTTCAACCTCCGCACCGCCCAAGTTCGTTATCTGAGAGGATTTACTCCTGAGCCTCAGCAACGAGGGCGTTCTGCTTGGCCTCCTTGCGCTCCAGACGTCTCTCACGGAGAGCCTTGTTCTTGGCACGCTTAGCATCCATCTCCTCCTTGAGGACGCGCTCACGGTGACGCTCAGCCTTGGCCTTCTGGATCTGTAGTAGAAAAAGAGATCATGTTAGCCCCTATTCCCTCATCGTCCAAATAAAATAATCGTATAAACCCGTTCCGTCTCATAGTATCCAGGGTATTTCGAAAGAACAACATAGCGGCGAAACTTACGTGCTCGATGAGGGAACGCTTGTGCTTGAAGGTGTTACCCTTGCTCAGGTGGTAGAGCTCGTGGTACAGGTGCTTGTCGATCTTGCCGGAGGCACGGTAGCGGACGAGCAGGCGACGGAGAATACGCATGCGGCGCATCCAGAGGATCTGGCTTTAATCCGATATCCATCAGCACACATTCGTTTCATCATTTCCCCTTCGCAGATGATATCTCGCTGTGTCGTGGGCGACCGAGAAAATCCTTGCAACGGCACTCAAGGGTGAGGACAATGTGCATACCTGGGCATACGAGCCTCCTTGGTACCCTTGCGCTTACCGAGACCACGGTGACGGCCGATGCGGCGGGCGGCGGCGAGCTCACGGGCACGGGAGCGGGAGTGCATGGTGACGGGCTTGCGGATGATGAGGCCATCGCTGACGAGCTTGCGGATGGTCTGGCGGGAGTTGGCGTTGGAGATCTCATTCATCTCATTGGGGTCGAGCCAAATCTTGCGCTTGCCGCAGCCCACCACGGAGGCGGCGAGGCGCTTCTGGGTGCGAAGGTTGACCCTGTGTGGTGCAAAAAAAAGCAGTCGGTCAGCATGAAGTCCAAACCGATCGGGGGGTTGTTGCTGCTGCTGCTGCGAAAAAGCGCCATCTTGAGGCGAATCCGGGGCGTGTGCACGGGGAAAGAGGGGGAGGATATACAGTCCAGCGACGAACAGTAATTCCCCCCCTTGATGCAGCAAAAATCAAGAGCTGGAGATGGACTCACATCTTGATGTCGGCGTATCGACGGTCGTTGGCGGATGATGTTCGTTGCACTCGTCGACGGGTAGAATTCCCAGGGCGAGGAGTTTGAGATACGGCGGCTGATTAGCTAAGCGGTTGTGTCTGCTAAGCGAGACCAGCAAAACCCTCTGTTAGGGTTCGTGCCCCAGACGCTTGTCCCGATCCGGGGAACACCGCCGGGAGCCGCAACGGCGCCTTACAGCATCCAGCTGGAACATGCTACAGATTCTGGGCTGATTGAAACATGGTATGGATTGGAATTACTATCTATATCATCACACTTATTGGATGTTCACCTTCTCAATTCACGACTCGTCTTCTATCCGTCGCTCGGCGGTGGACCAACTCGGGCAGATGCGCCATTCCGGCTGGTCCACGTGATCTCCGCCTGTGTACTTGTGTTGTATCAGTTACGTATGGATGACTGAGGCTGACATCAAATCCGACCATGGAAAACCCGCGGAAACTCAAAACAAATGCATTGCTCATCTCATAGTATGTATCAACATGCTTTTCTTTTCATCATTGGAGTTGGAGACCACGTCACCCAACTCTTTCCCCTACTCAAACAGAAGGGTATAGATAGTAGCAGATAGAGAGAAGTAGATCTAAATCGTCTCAGTGTCTAGCCCACCTCGACACCACTTACTCATCCCCAAACGACCCATCCCCGAGATCAACCTTTCCAATGCTCCACAATTCCCTCTCATCCTCTACCTCATCATTGGACAGCCCCAACCCTCCTTGTCCACCTTCCGCTTCCTTGCGCTCGCGGGCCTGGGCGGCAAGACGGAGCGCGACACGCTTGAAGTAGTCCGACATGCTCCGCTTGGGTCCCGGTGGCAGCGAAGCTCCGGGTCCGGCCATGTACTTATCGAACACTGCACCTTCGGATTCCTCCACAGAGAAGATCGCCAGGAATGCTGCCTCAGCCGCCAGCTTGACAGGAATGACCACGTCGCGAACGCTGGCGAAGATTGGTGGCGCCAAGAGGGCTAGGTGAGGCCGAGTCAGCTCGGGGTGAAGCCGGCTGACCGTGCGCATCACCACCAGGGACAACCGCCGCGTATCAGACGGCGTACCGGGCTGAATGCAAGGCGCCAAGGCCTCGAAAATGGCCTTGTTGTCTTCGAAGTTGCGGTTTTCATCCTCGATCAGGAGGTACTTTCCGGCAGCGAGGACGCTGTTGTCGGAAATGAAGGGCTGCGTAGGATTAGCATCATTTCTCGAATAGGGTTGGAATCTAAGTACTCACATCCTTGTTCGTGACACCCTGGCAGATCATAGCCTGAGTCTCCGCGGAGAAGTGCTCCGTCAAGGACGACGGAGCCTCAACCAACAGGGCATTGAGACCCAGAATCGATGCGTGGGAAGGTGTGGCAGCGAGGACCCGGTTCTTGATCAGTGGGCCAGCAGTGGCGGCCGGGAGGACCTTCACTAGTGCACCGAGCAACTTCGCATTCGTAATAGCGACAGCATCAGTTTGATCACTGGCATCGTCGTCAATAAGAGCGAGAATGGCGTTCTTCGATGCCTCGCTCATGTTGGCGCCGGCCTTGCCTACCACCTCTTGAAGAGCCTTCATCATCGCGTTTCTCACACCGACATCTTCCGTCTTGGTACCCGTGATAAGCTCTGCAATGAGAGGGTCCACACGGGGTGTCAGGGTGATCAGGATACCAAGACCCTTGGCGGCCCTGTTACGCAGAGTCTCGCTGGATGCATCAGCCAAACCACGTGCGAAGGTCCGCTGAAGCTGGGGCAAGAAGGGCTTGACAGCGAGGGGAATCTTCTCCAGAAGCTTGTTGAGGGTGAAGAAGATAGCGCCTAGTGTAGCCAATTAGTATGGAATATTATTCAAGCAGAAATAAAGAAAGCAACTTACATTTAATCTCCACCGATCGCTCGGACACAACACGAATGAGGGGACCAGTGATCTGGGTCACGAACAGCTTCAGAGAGTCTGCGCCAGTGCGATCGATGATGTCGCCGATGGCGAGAGCTGCCTGCGTACGCTGCTCGACGCTGCCGTTCAGAAGACCTTGCAAGAAGATAGGCAGAATGGCTGTGATACCCTTGGGCAGGCTGAAGCCAGGAAGGCTGGCACCCGGAACCCCGACACTCCGCAAGGTCTGACGAGTGGAAATGGTAAGGACTTCCATTTCTTCTTTGCGCAAATGTTTCGTGAGTCCACTGAGCGCCGTCCACGCGGCCTTGACGACATCCTTGTCGCTGTCATCGAAGGAGATGAGCAGGACACGGATCAGATCCTGGTGGTACCTGGAGTAATCGATCTCTGCATTCGAGAAGAACTTGTCGAGATGAATGGCCGCGGTAGCACGGCGGTGATGGTCATCATGCTTCATCAGAGTAATCATGACGTTCATCATGACATTCAAGCCATCGTACTCGTCCACCGAAACCAGGATCGTGTCAAAGGCATTGCTCAGTTCTTCGCGGTGAGCCTCGTCCTCAGTGGACACAATCTCGTCCATCAAGGAGTTGAGGATGGTAGGCAGCTTGCGGGTCATGGCAGAGCCGGCGACTTCGGCCAGGGAAGCAAGAGCCTTCGCGTTGAATGTGGAAATGGGAGAGGTGAGGAGGGTCGGGATAAGGTTGGGGAGGATGATATTCGCGCGGGTCTGCTCCGTGAGGAGGGTCAAAAGTGCGGACAACGCCTGCTCTGCATCCTCGTTGTTTCTCAGAAGAAGCAAGAGATGAGGCAGGACCTGGTCCACTGCCTTCTTGCCCAGGATCTGCTGCAGGGCGTCGAAAGCCTCGGCTGCAGCCTCGCGGACATCTTCGTCATTATCAACGAGCGCCACCCGAACTGTCGAGATAAGAACCTTCTCGTAATCCTCGAGGGCCTCGGCGGAGGCGGAAGTAATGAGTTCTCTCAAAGCAATGCAAATACCTTGCTTGACATCCACGTCGGGCGAAGTCTGGAGACCTTCTTCGAGAGAGGGAAGCAGAGCAGAGAGAACCGACTCGCCAGCCTTCTTGATAAGGTCACCAAGCGCGTTGCTAGCAATGACCTTATGCTCCATGTTGGAGGAACCGAGACGGCGAATAATGAGCTGAGACAGAGTGGGAACCATGTCCTTGAGCGTCTTAGGAGAAGCAACAAGTGACTTCCAGACGGCCATAGCAGCGCTCTTGACCATACCCGAAGTATCGCAGCGGCAGATAAACAGTGCCGACAAGACCTTGTCCCTCCTCTCCTCTCCGAGAACCTCCAGCAGCGACTGTCCAGCTTGAGCCGCTTCTTCCTCTTCCTCCTCGGCATCGGCCTTGGCTGTGATACCAGTGAGACTGAAGAGAAGATCACCAACCAGCTCGACGGAGCTCAATCTGATGCGGTAACTGTCATCCGCAAGACCGCGCTCAAGCTCTGGCAGAAGGAGATCAATGGCCTTCGATGAGAAGTTCTTGACGAGCAAGCGACCTGCCTTGAGAGAAGTCTCACGAATAGATTCGACATCGTCAGCCAAACCGGCAAGGATAGGAGGAATGATTTTGCTGAGATAGGCGGCGAAGCTGTTTCCGAAGCAGGCGGGAAGGAAGATAAAGAGCGTCATGAAACCCTCGCGAACAGAAGCCTTGGAACTGGACACATTCTGTAGAATAGTAGGCAGCGTCTCCTCGAGTCTGGTTGTACCCAGACCTGCCAGAACCTCTGAAAGAGCTTGAGCAGATCCCAGTCTGTCGCCGGCTCCGGTATCCGACTTGAGCGTAGACATGAGGTTGGGAATGAGGTCGGGAAGAGCGTCCTCTCCAAGCTTTTCGATAAGGGAACCGAGAGCCTTGGAAGCGGTCGCACGAGTAGTCGGCACAGGGTCGACGATAGCAAGCTGCAAGCCCGAAACAATGATTGGCAGATGGGCTGTCAGGTCCTTGCGCTCTGTAAGGTGAGCCAAACTGCCAATGATCTGAGCAGATTTACGTTTCGTGTTCGACCTGTCGCCAAGACCACGTTCGAGAATGCGAACAACAAGAGCCAAGGACGGCGCATCCAGATAGTGGACGAAGGACACCTTGATGAGGGAATCCAGGGCCTCATCGGTGTACTTGGTGGGGTCGCTGAGTGCCTTCAGAAGTACATTAACCAAGCTCTTGACTTCGGGGTTGCTGATGACTTCGCCGAAACGCTGAAGACTGCGGTTTGCAGCATTGCGCACTTCCTTGTGGGTATCATTGAGGACCACAGTGAGCGGAGGGATAATGTCCGGAAGGCTTGCCGCGAGTTGCTGGGGATCGAGGTAGGCCATCGCTCCCAAGAGATCACAGGCTCCCTTCTGACTGCGCCATTGTGTGTCATCAAGACCATCGAGAAGGGTGGGAAGAATTTGCTTGACACCATACGAGCTAAGGTTCGAGAAGCAAGCCTTTGCTGCATCAAGGCAGGCAGCACGGACGTCGGGGTTGACATCACCGAAACCAGCCAGAAGCTGGGGAACAATCTGGATGACATAGGGCTCGAAGGTCCGTCCAAGAATGGCGGCAAACAGCTCATATGCCAACAGAGCACCTTGTCTCTGATGAGGTTCCTTCTTGTTCTCAGTGGCATCACGCAGATGCGACATGACTTGGAATTCTCGAAGGGTGACAATACCCCTACCACTGACGATACCAGCAAGTCCATAAGCCGCGCCACGCTGTGTAGCATATTTCTTGGACTGCAGCAGCTGATCCAGCATTTCTTGGACGTACTCACCACTCTGAGGGCGCGAAAGGCGGATCAGAGGCGGCAGACATCCCGAAACGGCAGACTGCACACTCTCCGAAGGAGTAGGAAGAGTGTCCAGCAGCCTCTTGATGACTGTCTGCAGACGCGTATCGTCCGCTTTGAGATGCTGGGCCAGGGAACCATACAAAACAACAACGGCCTCGTTAAGAAGATCAGACGTCTCACTTCCTTTGTCGGAGGTCTCCAAGGTTGTCTCCAAGAGCTTCATTAATTCCTCGACCTTCTGTTGCCCACGGGCAGCAATGACAGATCTGCCGCTCTCGGCCATCTGTGCGCGGACGGCGGAACTCTTGTCGATAAGAGGACCTCTTTCAATCAAGAACCGGAGGAAGGAGACGATCTGCTCGCCTTCAAAAAGATTTGTCATAGCTCCAAAAGCGAGGGCGATACCACTGCGTAGCTCCCAATGGTCTGTGACATCCATCTTCTTCGGCATACCGTAGCTATCTTTTTCGGGCACCTTAGGCTGAATCTCAATCGTGTATTTGGACTGCAATTCGGAAAAGATCCGGTCAAACATCGAAGGGTTCACCGCAATTGCATGAGCCAACGCGCGAGCGCCAGCACCACGAAGCTGTGCATCCTTTGAGGAGAGATAGGGAATGATCTTCTCATAAGAGGAGTCGTCGACTTCCAGGGCATTTTCTTCCCAGATATTCTCGGCGATCTCAGCATTCTCCTCCACGTGGTCATGGCATTCCAGCCAGATGTGTTCAGAGAAGTCGAGATCCGTCAGGTCGATCTCAGCTTCGATGACCTGCAACACCGAGGTACGGACAGACACATCCGTCACAATTGTGCCCTTGAGGAGAATGTCAAGCTCATCCTTGGTGATGTTAGGTGAGATGCACCTGCAAACATCGAACAGAGTATCCTTGATAAGCTTGTAGTGTTGAGTGTACTTCTGCATCGATGCAAGCAAAATCTTCAGGACTTCCACACGAGGAAGACGTTCGTCGGCAACTAATTAACCATGCATTAGCCTTGAGGGACACTCCGTCAATTTTTTGGTAAACTCACAAGAACCCGAATGGAAGGACAACACTTCCAAGGCAAGGAGGACTTGCTCGCCCTCTTCATCACCTCTCTGTTCATCGATTCCGTTCTTGCTGAGCACCAAGAAGAGCAAGGGGAGAACGTAGGCCAGAGACGTGCTCTCGAAAGGACGTTGCTCGGAGGCAAAACGCAAGCGATAAAGGATTCTCGTAACGAGCTCTGCCGATCAGTTAGTGCAAGCTTCCCACATAGCCAGAACATCAAACAACATACGTCCAAGTGCCTCTGCTTCCATCTGCGGAGGCAGGTAACTCTTGCCAATAGCCCGAAGCGTTGCAATACCCACGAAAGGCCGCAAAGGCCCGAGACGCGAGGACAACTTCTCAGCGCACTTAACGTACGCTTTGGACACAACATCACCAGCGTACAAGCCTGCACCGGCTTCGGTCAGGGAGAGCAAGGAGCTCACGGCGGGGTTGATCCAGCCATCCGCGTCGATGGCGGGCCCATCCGCGAGACCTTGAATGATTCCACATCCCCTTTCGATCTTCTTGATCACTTGGAGGACTTCCTCGCGGATCTTGGACTCCTTGGCAAGCTGGGCCTTGACCTTGGATTGCTCTTCAGGAGTAAGCTTCTTCTGCTTCTGGCCCTTCTTATCAGCCAATTGTGACCGTAGCTCCTCCTCCCACTTGAGGATGTCGTAGTCTTTAGTGTTCTTATCAAAGTTCGACTGCTTGGACTTCGTGCTGAGCACGTCGACGAACATGGTTCCCTCCGGGGTACGGGCGATAGCGACATCGGTTGCCGTGAACTTGGACAGGCGCGAAGTATCCAGATCGTCCTGGATTTGGCCAACCAGTCGGGGAACCATAGCATCAGGTGCTACGAACGCCAATTCACCCGCAGCACTCCAGATTGCGGCATCGATTTGGGGGATTTTCGACTGAACAGGGTCCTAAGAATGTATTAGTTTGGACTTCCTAAGTTGCGTTTGACGAGTACAGGCACACGACATACCTCATGCAGACGAGTCAGCTGCTCCAGACACTTTTCGGGGAATTCGCGCACAAGGTTGCCGGGGTCAATGCCGGTCCTCAAGCAAGACGCAATCCAAGATGTGCTGGGAATAAGCTCGGGGCGACACAGGACCAGCAACTCAACGAGTTGGCCTTTCAGAGAAGCTGTGACGTTGTCTACTTCCTGCACACTAGAAGCAGGAGGGCACAGAGCCTTCACAACGAGATGGAGGAACCTTTCGCTTTCTGGTCCTGCAGAGACCGAGGCAGATTCTTTCTCGCCAGTTCTAAAGGAAAGTATCCAGGACCACAGAGCACTTGTGACTGTCCGGCCCATACCTGCCACATCCTTCAAATGAATTTCTGACAAGGTCCGAGCAGCTCCATCCCGGAAACTGGTGTGAAGTCCAGGGGCGGCGATATTATAGATGAATGCCTGGGCCCAGGCGGTCTTGGCTGCGTCCTCAGCCTTTCCGAACTTCGAACCGGTAGTGACTGCAGCAAGTGCGCGCACGGCCCACTGGATCTCGGTCTGGGTGGTCAACTTTGAGTAGGCCTTGGGGTTGAGGAGGAAAGACGGCTTCGGGTTGAGCACCATTGACTGGGCTACGGTTTCCTCCCATGCAGACTTGTCAAAGCTCTGCAGCGAGGAAGAGCGATCTAGAAGAGCGAGATACACATAGGCAGTTGACAGAGAGCCACCCTGAGCAGAGGGAAGAGGGTTGGCGGCAACCTCATTGTACAGCTCTTTCATCTTGCTAAGGAACTTGTTCACAAGGGGCTCGACGTCAGTGCTTGCCAGAGTCGCAGGTTCGACTTGCCACATAACCTCTCCGACATTGAGCTGCCAGAGCTTTTTGAACGGAACACGCTTATCGGAAGATCCTTTCACAATGGCATTGATGACGTCGTCGCTGACCTTCACTTGAGACTGGACAAGGAAAGCCAGGTGCTTACAGAATGATTTGATTTCCTGTTCCAAAGCGGCCTCATTGGATTCCCTGTTGAAAACGGGAACAAAGCCCTGTACCACGTCCTTAGAAAGATCGGCCGAAGGCAATATCGCAGCGACCGCTTGAGCGTACACCGCACGCTGTTCCGGATTGGTGATCTTCTGGGTCTTCAGAGGGTTGACGACTTCGCTCGTGATCTTGGTGAGCAAGGCCTGGTCCTTGGATTTCGCGAGAAGGGACTCGAATGAGCGAACAGCACCCTGTCTAATGGCTGGATTGTTCGACTTCATGCTTGATAACAGGTGCTTCAACAGCCGCGAATGCAAGAGCTCGGACATATCAATCTCCTCCGGCAAAGAGGCGCACAGCGAAGGCAACAAGCCATTGAAAACAACCTCGGGAGAGCGCAACATGGCCTTTTCGAAGGGCGGGATCAACTCGGTAGCGAGGTCATCGTAGCTAAGGAAAGAGACGAAAAAGTCGCCCAATGCATCGGCGATGTGAGCGGGAGGCGCGGATTTCGCACCAGCCAATTCCTTGACGTAGAACGAAATGATTGCCTTCTTTTCCCCTTCTAAGACTGGCTTCTTGGCGGGAAGACGCGCGCAGACGCCGGAGATGACCCCTAAGAAAGGTGCGTTCCTCTGGCCAGTAGTCGAGTCGCTGGTCAACCGGCGGACGGATTCACGAACAGCATCCTCACCCCAAGCGGTGGAGGAAAATGCAGCGCGTAGAGCACGTCTCGTAACACGGAGGGCAGAAGCCTTCACTGCGGGTCTCGGGTTGGAGGCCAGACAGATATCTAGGGCCTTTGCATCGACCGCAATGGTGTCCAGAACGGCAGAAAGAGGGGTTTCGGAGTCACCTCCCAGGATCTGAAGCACCACGGAGCACCATTCCAACAAAACGAGGGCTGGACCAGGCGCCAGGCCAGGTTTAGCAGCCTCCACCTGCAACTTCTGGGTGAGGTATTTCAGATCGTCGGTCGGGACGGGCGCCTTGAGAAGCGAGCGGAGACATTGCTGAACGGCCTGCCGCGAGGGACGATCGACGTAGCGAGGGTAAGTCTTGAAGAGAAGGCCGATTAGAGGCTGGTAGGATTGAGGTTGTAGGCTAGATCCTGTTTGGTGGACAGATAGTGAGCACAAGAGCACGAGAGCATCATATTGGGAAGTGAGAGAGTGAGAGTCAGAGAGAGGGGCTTTTGTTCTTCACGCACCGATTCTGTCACGGAGGTCCTGGAGAGCGCGAATTCTGCGAGCAGTCGAACTCGAGAAGAGAACGACCTGCAGACTCCCCAGGTCCCCTGATTCCACCTGATCCCATGGAAAATCGTCCATGATAGTCTAGGTGGCCTGAAGCATGCCCGGCGTGAGGAGCAATGGGCACGAATGGGGCCGCGGATGTTGTCATAAAAGTTTTGCGGCGTTGTGGGGGAAGCTCCGCCGCCTTGCCTTGCCTTCCTTCCTTTGCTGGCTGTGAGTCGGAGGACCCGCCGCCAGTCTCTCCTCCATGACGAAGAATCTCCCCCATTTCTTCCCTCATACACTCCCCAACTCAACTCTTTCAGATTTTATTTGCTCACTCTTCACCTTGAGATTTCACTAATGATTCTAGACATTACCTTTCTCACTTCCCATCCTTAGAGCATTCTCTCCTTGTCCGCCCCGGCGGGAAATCTTGCAGCAGCCCACCTTCCCCTCCTTCAATCTCACTTAACCACCATGCCACCTAACAACAGGAAAAAGAAGAAGCCCGCCTCCAATCCGGCTCGAGGATTTGCCACGGTCTCGGTGCCATCTAAACCAAAGCCTACTGAATCGTCAACCCCAGTCTCTACCGCAGACTCCAAGTCCGTGTCCGAAAGTGATCGTCCAACGCCCGTCGATGGAAAGCAGCAACCCGCAGTAGAGTCCAAAAGCGAAGCCGCCCCCTCATTACAGAACTATACTCCAGAAGAACTTGAGAAACACTTGGAGGAAGCTGAACTTCAGCTCTTGGTTGAGAAGTATGCTTCCAAGTGCAGAAGTGATGCCGCCCGCCAAGTCACCAAGTTGGAGACAGAACGCAGAGTATTCCGGCAACAAGCCGTTTCTATAAACCTGATGGAGTGGCTTCCCACCGAGGTGCTACAGAATATCATGCATCTGGTTGAGACGGAAGAGCGAGAGCTCAGTCCATTACCCGGACGGGATTCGGGAGGTCAGAAGAAAACTGTCTCGGAGGAAGAACTATACATGAGACTCTGGACCCTGAAGGAAACCCTGCTTAAACTCGGCTTCCCGGAAGAGAAAGTAAACGAGGCTTTGAAGCATATGCTTCTCTACTTTTCTGGTAATTCTGCCACATCCAATAGGGAGGTGGTTTGCAACCTGGATGAGGCTCTAGATTGGCTTGCCTTGCATTGCACTCCCAAGGAATTGCCTTCTTACATGCAGACAAATGCGCAGCAGCGCAATGAGTTGGATAGACATATCTCTTGGATAAATGGTAATCTTAGGTGCCTGGTATCCCGTAAGGATTGGATGGCTAACCTGACTGACATCAGATCGTGAGCCATCACAATCCTCCACCCCAAGTTTGGGCCCAAATAATAGCAAAGTGAAAAAGCCCAAAAGCCCTGTAAAGGAGCCGAGCCCTGCCCTCCAATCGAGCCCCTACGACTCGGACAGCTCCCTTGACCCGGACACGCTCATTCCAAAGTATCTGGACCTGCAGACTCGCCTGTATGGCCTGCGACCGGAGCTATTCGACCAACCCAAGAAGGGCAAGAAGGGAGGCCGTAAGCCTGCTGAAGCCGAGCAAGACCCTCAGGTCGTGAGGTTGCAACGCAAAATTACTAGCATTGAAAATGATGTGCTGTTTGACCAGCATGAGGCCGAATACAAGTGGAGAGAGAAACTTGACGATCTACGCAAAGAGGCGGCTTTTGTCCGGCGCTCACAGCCTGAAGAGAAGCCTGTTCAAGAGGAAGCTGAAAATGCAGAGCAACCAGAGGAAACGGTAACGAAACCGGAGAATGGCGCACAACCGCTTGACAATGAAGAGGCTACGGACTTGTTAGGCGACATGTTCCAAGATGAGGAACCTGTCCTGGAACTCGGTGTGATAACGGAGGAATTAAAGAAGGCATCTGTCAAAGTGCGCGATTTCGGAAAATGGACTGGACTTAGCCCCCGGCGAGTGCTAGAAGAAACGTGCAAAGCAAGGTATGTCTCGCAGTTAAGCTGGGGATGATCGACAACTAAGTCATCTGGGTAGGGACACGGGTTGCAAGATCACGTTCAAGGACATGTCCGCTTCGTCGCATTCGAACAGACAAGCTCTTGAAGTAAGATGGTCCAAACCTCAAGAGGTTCCCTTCCCTTTTGTCTGGGACACTACCACACATAACTCGAATGCTTACGCGACATTCGTTTCAATGGACTCGGTGGCGACTCCAAACTCTCAGCAAGCGGAATCCTTCGTTTCCACTCTTGCTCTTTTCATCCTATTCCCGCAGAACTCCAAAGAAGGAAAAGCATACCTGCGCCTTCCAGCGGTGTGGCGAGAGCTTTGGACGGAGTTTGCGAATGCGAAGAAGTTGCAGGAAGACGAAGCTGACAAGCAGACTGTCAAGGATCTGAAGAAACTCATACAGGATAACCATGGGGCCTTTGAAGATGATGTTGTCTTGTCGCATAACTTCCGGAAGCGAAACGGAACCTCTAGCAAGCCGGAATCCCCAGTACGGGGAGCCAGCATAAAGGACAGTTCTGAGCCTGACGAGGAGTTGACTCGGATCTGGACAGAAAAGTCGTCTACGGCCTCATTCCAGTACATGGCTCAGGGCAGGATGAACCTGCCCATTTGGAATTTCCGCGACGACATTCTCAATACTCTTGACACACATCGTGCACTCATCATCTGCAGTGAAACAGGAAGCGGGAAAAGTACGCAAATACCTTCGTTTATTTTGGAGCATGAAATGAAGCAAGGCCGACCGTGCAAGATCTATGTGACCGAGCCTCGCAGGATCTCGGCCATTTCCCTTGCCCGAAGAGTGAGCGAAGAACTAGGCGAGAATAAGAACGATGTGGGAACGGCGCGCTCGCTCATTGGCTTTGCTGTCCGATTGGAGAGTAAAGTCAGCCAAGCTACGAGGCTTGTATTCGCGTATGTTCTCGCCCTTGTGAACTTGGGAACGAGCTGACCCTGGCAGGACTACCGGAGTGGTGGTGCGAATGCTTGAGCGCCCTGACGACTTCCGCGATATCACTCATGTTGTTCTCGATGAGGTCCACGAACGTTCGATTGATAGCGACTTCCTCCTCATCGTCCTTCGGCGGTTGATGCAAAAGAGGCCCGATCTGAAGCTGATTCTGATGTCGGCCACACTTGAGGCGCAGCGCTTCTCCACCTATCTTGGCGGTGTTCCGGTACTGAATATCCCAGGTCGGACATTCCCTGTGGAGATGAAGTTCCTAGAGGATGCCATCGAGATGACCAACTATCGGTTGCTGGAGAATGAATCCAACGCTGTGGAGGAGGAAACAGATGAATTGGCGCTGGAGACGGCGCAGGGCGACACTGCCGGCAGCCTGATGACTTCGCTCGATGGATATTCTAAGCAAACCAAGGAGACCGTGGCAAACTTTGACGAATATCGCCTGGACTACCAGCTCATCAAGCGGCTGGTTGTGCAGATCGCTTCGTCGCCTGACATGACACACTACAGCAAGGCCATCCTTATCTTCATGCCCGGTATGGCGGAGATTCGTCGGCTGAACGATGAGATCCTATCGGACCCGACTTTCCAGCAGGGATGGATTGTGCATGCGCTGCATTCATCTATCGCCAGCGAAGATCAGGAGAAGGCTTTCGTGGTTCCTCCTGAGGGCATGAGAAAGATTGTAATTGCCACCAATATTGCAGAGACAGGTATCACCATCCCGGATATTACTGCGGTGATTGATGCGGGCAAAGAGAAGAGCATGAGGTTAGTAGAGGAGAACATGCGAGTAATGAAGTAGCTAACTTGCCCAGGTTTGATGAACGCCGTCAGCTATCTAGGCTCGTCGAAACGTTTATTTCGCGCGCTAATGCGAAGCAACGACGTGGACGAGCTGGTCGTGTGCAGAATGGTATCTGCTTCCACCTGTTTACGAAGCATCGCCATGATAAGCTGGTATGTGTAACCACCACGGCTGCAAATTTTAATACTGACTAGTTGTAGCTCGCAGAACAGCAGACGCCCGAGATGCTCCGGTTGTCTCTCCAAGATCTTGTGCTGCGTGTCAAGATCTGCAAGTTGGGTGAAGTGGAACCGACGCTGCTGGAGGCGCTCGACCCGCCGTCATCCAAGAACATCCGCCGGGCCATCGATTCGCTTAAGGAGGTGAAGGCCCTAACAAACGCGGAGAATCTGACCCCTCTGGGTCTGCAGCTGGCCAAGCTGCCGTTGGACGTTTTCCTTGGAAAGTTGATCATCCACGGCGCCTTCTTCCGCTGTTTGGACGCGGCCGTCAGCATCGCCGCTATTCTGTCTTCGAAGTCGCCATTTGTGAACACAATGGGCTCCAACACCCAAAAGGACATTGCTCGACTGTCCTTCCGCAAGGGTAGGTGCTTCCCAATTACTGTTTCCTACTTGTCGCTAACAAGATTCAGGCGACTCTGATCTGCTGACGGTATACAACGCCTACTGCGCGTGGAAGCGCGCCCGCAACACACCCGGCGTGAGCGAATACGCCTTCTGTCGCAAGAACTTCCTCAGCTCGCAAACACTGCTTAATATCGAGGACATCAAAATGCAGCTGATTGTATCAATCGCCGACACAGGGCTATTAACGCTGGATCCATCCCAGAAAGCGCTCCTCAACCGGTACACTCCCCACCTTCATCAAGCCCAAACCCCTACTAACAAATCTTCAAAAATACAGTTCCCGATCCAACAACCGACGCAACTTCTTCACCATCCCGGAAGAATACGATTTCAACAGCGTCAACGATACCATAGTCAACTCCGTAATCGCCTGGAGTTTCTACCCGAAACTGCTCACCCGCGACGGCAAAGGCTGGCGCAACGTCGCCAACAACCAAGCCGTCACGCTGCACCCCACCTCGGTGAACAAGCAAGCCGATGCATCGGCCATAAAATGGGTGTCTTATTACCATATCATGCAGGGCCGGAATAAGAATTATAATGCGTTTGAAACGACGGCTGTGGATGATTTCGCTATTGCGTTGTTGTGCGGAGAGGCTGAGTTTAAGGTACCCCAATTTCTAACTTCCCCCCTTACACACACACCCATCCATTTGATATATCAATACTAATAAAAATGATAGATGTACTCCGGCGTCATATCCATCGACTCCAACCGCATCCGCTTCTCCCTACGAGATTGGAAATCTATGCTCGCGCTGAAGACCCTGAGCGCGAGACTACGCGAGATCCTACAGAATACGTTCCGGGAACCGCATCGCGTGCCGTCGTATAAACAGCAGCAATGGCTGGGTCTGTGGCAGATGATTTTTGCTCAGGTGAGGAAGTAGTCGTCTGCCTACCCTGGTTTCTTGTCTTTGGTTGGGTTTGGATTGCTTGGTTGGTATGTATGTGTTGCATTGGGTTTAGCTTTCTGGAAGATGCTTGTTTGCTTGTCTTGCCTCTGGACTACTAGACTTGGATTGGACAATTCGGTATTGATTGTATTGGGCTTCTGGTTGGGATGAATTGAATTGAAATGGGTTGGGTTTGTATGGATGAATGAAATGCGTGTATGTATGTATAAGGACTGGATGGTGATGAAAATAAGAAGAAGGATGGGATGAGAAAATGAATGTATATGATATGAAATCTCGATAGATGGATATAAATTCTAACTCCAACATGAAATAAAAAGACTTTGTTCATAACTAGTTGACATCACGATATCATTGAAGAAAAAGAAAAATCGAAGCGATTGATCACCCCCAAACATCCTCCTGCCACTTCCCCCTCTTCTTCAACCCCTTACACCACTCATTCCACTGCCCATCACCCTCCTCCCACCCCTTAACCCTACACATTTCCCTTCCGACCCTCTTCTCCACCTCTCTTGCCATCCCCGCCCTCCCACAAATATACAAGTTCGCCCTCTCCTCCACCAACAACCTCACCACCTCATCCCCACACTCGACAATCTTATCCTGCACATACTGCCTCTTCACTCCCCCATTCTCATATCTCGAGAACGCCGTCTCAATGCGCAACTTTCCACCCAGCCCCTCATTCAACGCCTCCAGCTCCTCCTTATAGATGTAATCCTCGTCTGGACGCCGACATCCAAAGAAAAGGATCATCTGTCCCACTTCACGACCAATCTGCTGCAGTTGGCGACGTTCGGAGATGAACGCCCGGAACGGTGCTAGGCCCGTGCCTGCGGCGATCATGATGAGGGGCGTGTTTCCGGTGCGGGGCAGTTTAAATTTACTTTTGCGGAGGTGCGCGAAGACCTGTTCGCTGTTGAGAGCGTTGCTGGGTCCGTTGAGGTGGTAGGTTAGGCCGTATGGGTGGGGGGTGGATGAGGAGGTGCGGTGTTGAGATAAGGCGAGGAGGTAGTTCGAGGTGATGCCGTGGATGAGTTCGTCTGGGTTTTCGGGGACAGGGGTGGTTGAGACGATGGCGGTGATGGAGGGTTTGCGGGGGGAGAGCACGCTGCTGGAGGAGATGGAGTAGTATCGGGGTTGGATGGGGGAGAGGGTCTCGACCAGGTAGGATAGAGGTAGGGCGGACCAGGCGTTGTCTGGGGAGGCGAGTTGGAGGAGACGACTGAGAGTGACGTGCGTGCGGTTGAGGAAGTTGGCGTAGCTGGTCTTGTCTTGGCCGAGTTGGAGGAGGTAGGTCTTTGCTTCGGGGGTGGGTGCGAATTGTGCTAGACCGAGTACTGTGTCGCGGTTCACAGGCGCACAGATCTCCAGGTAGTATCGGAAGAGGGCTGCCGCGGTCGTGGGGGTGGGGATGCGCACTTTCGTGGCCGGGTCGAGGGATTTGATGGAGATGGGCACCTCGCGGCGTGCAGTAAGGCCCAGTACCTGGAGGAGACGCTCAACCTCTGCGTCGGGGTTGCTGGGCCAGATGGCGAGGTGGTCGCCCGTCTTGTAGGTGAACTCGGGGACACTGGACAGGTCCAGCTCCATGTGTAGACAGTGGCGGTCTGAGACCTGGAAGAGCTCACGGGTGCTGGAGATAGTCACTGGCCGCACGGGGGAGCATTGCGCCGATGCCCTGCTAGCATCACGGGCATCTGGCTCTCCATGGTTCAAATCAATAGGCTCCAGGGACTCGTCTTCCTCGACGGATAGGGTGGGCAGGTACTGCATCTCACCCTCCTCGAAGCCGAGCTGGGACTTGAACATGGCGAACAGCTCGTCCTTCCAGCCGATAAAGTCCTCCTGCGTGGCTCCCTCGGCATCGTTAGCCCTACCAACGGGCATGAGGGCCTTTGCACCTCGACCATCCAGCGCCTGAACGACAACGTCCACGACGCGGTTGTAGAACTTGTAGTTGCTATTCCCCAGGCCAAACGCACAGTACCTCACATTGGCCAGCGAGACATTTTCCGCCTTGTGAATCCAATCCCAGAACTCAGCCGTATTATCACTGGGATCTCCTTCGCCATAGGTAGACAGAATGAAGATCGCCAGCTTGGACTGAGGAATCTGAGAGATACTCTCCGGATCATAATCCGATAGATCCGCCGTCAGAGTACCCTGACGGAAGCGGAGGGCAATTTCACGCGCCAAGCGATGGGCAAAGCCCTCGGCCGTACCGGACTGCGATCCCCAGAAGACGACGATGTTCTTGTCCGCCTCTTCGAGCTTTTGGGCAATGTTGCGGGTCTCCTGGTGGGCATTGGGGCCGGCGGAACCGGCCATCTTCAGCTGGGGACGTTCATACCAGAGGTAGTTGTAGGGGTCTGGCTGGTCCCAGAGGATGCCGCGCGACAGGTAGGTCGTGCCGGCCATGGCAAGGAGAGTCAGAGCGGCATAGTCGGCGGCTCCGGTGGGAGTGAGGACTTTGGTCAGCTCCTGCCAGAGGGCTGGTGATATCTGCCATGGAGACAGAGGAGAGGTCATGATGATGAGGATGAGGATGAAGTGCACTGAGCAGAACCAGCCTGTCCGTCAGTCAGTCAGCCACTCTGTAGTTTGGAGGTTAGTAGAAGATGAGAGGGCAGCTGCTGGATCTATAAATCGATCCATGAGAGGCCGCGACACCATGATTTCCGATGGGTGAATTGGCGCCAATGACCGACATAGTGGAGATGAGAGCGGCGCAAGGAAAGAGACACGAGACACGAGAAGCAGTACACCTGAGCAAGAAGCAGATGCAGAGACAGAAGCAGAAACAGGATCACCAGAACCGAAGTTGGGGATCCCAAAGAAGAGAAGATGGAGAAAGAAGCGGCAATGTTCCCCGAGGGGAAAATTACCCCATTTGGGGGCAGGCGGCATCTTTTTCCATTTCGCCCATGCACCTTTCTGCATGTCTTTCGCCTCATCCATTGTCCAATACGGAGTAGTTTAAACCACTTTAACCTCCCTCTCGGTCCCAATATACCCGATTTAGCTACTTTCCCCCCGCGGTCCCTTTCCTTCTTTCTGTCTCCATCTTCACCCCCGGCACAGCACAGACCAAAAAAGCAATCAACCTTAACTATTATCAATCTATCCCCCGCACTTTGTCCACTTTCTACCCCAGCTCGGCTTTCGGGGCGTTACCTCCCTTTCCTCTTTCGTTATACTATACTAAAGATGAAAGGGATGTAGCATGCTGCATACCCTTCCCCCACGGAACGGACACATCGGTCTCGCTCCGATGGTTGCGGACCAGTCTGGCCGGACACCTCGGGGTCCCATGACGATCCCTCGTGAGACTATCTCGACGTAGTTACATGCTTGATATGCATGACTAGCTAATTGAGTGTTTACCTAGTTGAGTGTCTACCAAGGAAACTAGTGAGAAACTATGGACTATACCATCCAACACCAAGGAATTAGTGCAATATCGCTACCATTGTTTTCATCATTCATCACGAAGAAGAAAAAGAGAAAGAGGAGAGAACAAAAAAAAAAAAAAAAAAAGTCTAGCCTGTCTAGGAACAAGAAGAATATGAAGAAAATTTCCCCTAATCGGTGGCCGGCACCTGCCGTCGCCACACCTTCACCGGCATATCTCCCAAAATCAAGTTCATCGTCTCCAGTCGCTTCAGCTCCCACCCGGGGTGCGGCAGCGCAAACTCATACCGATGCACCAGCGACGCCAGGATCTTCGTCTGCTCCAAGTACGAGATGTTCCGCCCGATACAGGACCGTGCCCCCGCCGAGAACGCCACAAAGTACGGCTGCAGCGCTTTTCCTTCTTCTCCCAACCACCGCTCTGGGATGTACTGGTCCGCCTTGGGGAAGGCCCGCTCGTCGCGGTGCGCAACATAGGCCGACATACTGACCGTTGTCTTCCCCGGCACCCACTGGCCCAGGATCTCCATCCCCTCTTCCGGCGTCTCGCGCGGAAGCCCGTGCGACGTTGGCGGGAAGATCCGGAGCGATTCGTCCAGGCATGCCCGAAGATACGGCAAGTGCTTCACCTTGTCGTATGGCGCAACGACATCGTCCGCGTCTAGCACTGCGTCGATCTCTTCCCGGAGCTTAGCCAGGCACTCCGGATTCCGCAGCAGCTGGTACATCACGTTGGCGATCGCGATCGCCGTCGTTACGCTGCCTGCGTTCATCATGATGTTCACTTCCGACACCACGTCGCCCCATTCCAGGTTGTTGGCCCGGCCGTTCTTATCCTCCATCAGCGCTTGGAAGAAGTCATCGAGCTTCTCCCCAGCCTCATACCGTCGCAGGCGCTCGATGCTGCGTCGCCACACAATGTTGTCCCAGTTGTCCGAGGATTTTTGCATCCGGCCGAAGAACGGGATCACGTTGACCAGTTTGTTCAGCACCGGGTACCATTCGTAGTTCCAGAGGATAAGCGACTGCTTCCGGGCCGTGGGATACAGTGCCTCCCGGAGATTCACCGTGTACGTTGACCCATCCTTCCGCTCAGCTATGCAGACATCGCTGCCCTGGTCTAAGAAGCCCAGCTTCTCCGACAGACCGATATCTGCGATAGCATCCAGCGTGAAGTAGTTGGTCCAGGCGCGGAAATCCACGGTCAGGTCTTTGGGGTCCGGCGCGACCTTGCCGGACGCCACAGCCGCAGACGGTGCGGCCGTGCACACCTTGTCAAAGTGGGCCACCACCTTCTCAACCTTGTCGCTGACTTTGTGCTCCCATGTTTCAAGGTTCTTAAGAGCGTAGGCGGATGACAGAACCTTACGCTTCCGCGCATGGTCCCCCTTGTCCACCACATCGGCTAGGTGGTAATGCGTGCCCGCCGTGACGACGTAGGATGGGTCCTTGATGCACTTGGTGTTATGGCCGTAAATGTCCTTGATCGCGCGCACATCACCATAGGAGAGCGTATTGGGTCCGGTACGGATTACCGGCTTCTCCTGGTGCAGCTC